GATGAAATACAGCATTTGTATAAAAGAAAAACATACCACAGGTCTGCAAACATTCTACACAGCTTTGCGCCCATTCTTCCGGTTTATAGTGGCCCTCCATACAACTGTTGGGTCTCTTTTCAACATCATTTGCTCATCCTAGTGGGATTAAATTGCAGTGAGCATTACTACATCTTAAGGAAAGATCCAGTTATTTGCAACTGAGAGGATACTGATTAAATGAGATAAGTAAAAATTTTAAAGAACAAATGTGTGGAGTTACTTTTATTGTAAATGATAAGGAAGAAATCCAACACCAGCTAGATTTTCATATTGATACAATGAAATTTCAGGTTCCAAATGAATTTATGTTGCAGATTTGAACATATGAAGCCCCCCAACACACAATCCTTATTCACATTAGTTTTTGCTAAAAAGAAAAAGTGTTTCACATCTGATAGAATATGCAAGAGACAGGAATAAGGCATATCTGAGGAAAAAACTTGAAATTTAACAAGTGTTCATCAGGTATCTGTCATGCACCTACCACAGAAGCATTGATTGATCATGGTGGAAAATTCTCACTCTTTAGCCAAAGTCACTTGAAATAAGACAAGTAGGATTTTTTATAATTAAAGAGAGAAAGATTAAAAGAGAAGTTGGCTCTGATAAAGACAAAAATATATGGCAAAACAAATTATATTTCTCATCATTCTCCAGGCATCGTAGTATTCTATTTCTTATCTCTACACTTAAATGGATAAATAATGATTAGAAGAATAGATCATTGGATAACCCAGTGACTGTTCAAATATTACTTGGAAAATTACAATACAATTCCAATGCAATGAGCTCTCCCATAAAGGCATTTAAATATCTGAGATCTACATATTTTGGAAAAAGAATAAAAGAGGCCAGTGTCTAAACCCTGAAAGAACAATATCCAAATTGTTTGAAGTTCTGTTGTGAGGGGAGATTATTTGGTAGTCATATGCCAACAATAGGGCCTTATGCTTTCATTATAATTGTCTGTGGGTGACAATATTGACTGAGCCAGGCTGCTGCTAGGCAGGAAAGTGTATGAAGGTATAATACTCTTGGAAAATTTCAAGCTTATTAGCATAATTGCTCTGATGAAAACTGAAGAGCTTACTTAACATAGCTGACTAGAGTAGACAATAGATGCATAAGCAGTGTCCTAATTATTGAATTAATGAATCCCAATTGTTTGTCCTTACTGTAAACGGTCCTTGCTATGAAACAGACATTTGCTGAAGGAGTCTGACAATTGTGTTAGCTGACAAGTGGCCAGAATGTAATTAATGGTGGGAGAGAGCCAATTACTACTGGGTCCTAAAGACTTCACTGGTGAGTTTCAAGGAAAAATTATATAGCTATACAGTGGTTTCATATCAACTCTTCTTTGCTTTTGTAAACTCATGGAGCCTGATTCAGTGCTCTTATTTTGCAGTTGAGGAAACTGAAGCTGAGGCTTCCTTCTCCAAAGTCCTGTGACCACTTAGTGCCATGCATTGTGCACGTAGTATCTGCCTTTTCTGCTCTGGCACTGCCCACTGACTCTTCTTCATGTTCCTGGTCTGCATGCACACCCATGCTGCAAAACAACACTTCTGAACCTTTGCCGCTCTACAAAACTCCAAGTTCCCATTACTTTGTAAGCATGTGTCCTCACCAACTATTTCGTGGTGAAAATAGAGGCAAATTTCCTACCCACGCCTGAACCCCCAATGATGGACAGATGTACCCATCTCCAGACCGACCCTTCCAGCCATTTTCCTCAAAAGCCTTGCCTATCCCTCTGGATAAGCTTTTTCCTCCACTTACTGTCTGTTCCCTTGACCACCCTGTCCAGGGTGGTCATACATACACACGTCCCTCCCAACATACACATGTCATACTCTATCACATCACCTTTAAAATTTTTTCTTTAAAAACTTATTATGTAGAATCATCACGTCCACTTACTCTGTACTGAATTGTTACTTGTCACCCCTTAACACTTAATGTAAGCTCTAAAAGAACAGGAAATATGTCTGTTTTGTTCACCATAGTATCCCTAATTCAAGCATACATGGAGGCACTCAATAAATATTTTTGAATGGATGAATAATTTTCACTCAGGTTCACTCAAACTCAGCATATCCAACTGGAAATGATCATCTCCTTCTGTTTTCCTGTCTGTGTATGTCTTAGCCCAGTTCCCTAGAAAACAAACCTGATGCAAAGATTAAGTATTGATGCTTTTTTTTTAGAAGGTATAATCCCAGGGCAACAGTATGAGAGAAAAGACAAGAAAAATGGGGAACAAGGTACAGCAATGCATTACTGTGCTAAACACTACTCCATGAAAAGCCTTAAAGAAATACAGCCTGTCTCTTGGGCAGGTGCAGCCACTTGGCCATACAGGACATCTCCAGACAGGCAGTATGGAGAAATCACACCATGAAACAATGTGAAGAAGGAAGGAATTTTTTCCTTGTGTCTCCTGTCTCCTGTTGGTCATAGCTTGTCTTTCAGGGAGTAAAAATTTTCTCACTTCCCAGTTGGGTTATCCATTTTCTTTGACAGTCACTCAGAAAGCCAGGTCCCATGCCCTGGAGTTCAGAAATGGTGGGAGGAAACTGGGTATGTGGCTGGTTGACCTCAGGCAGTTAAACCACAAGGGACTTAACTAAGTCTCTAGTGGTAGCAGGTGAAACAGAAGAAGAGGTCAAGGGTCCCAGAGATGGTAAGGCCCAGAAAATCTGAGAAGACATGTAAATTAAGGCTGACATAGAGTAATCATTACTACTGCAAAGGTAGGACCAGGTTTATTTTATCCACTTCATGATACACAGCACCTGCCACACTATGTGCTAATTAAACTTCTGTTGAATAAATTCCTGCATAAATTACACCACCACCTGCCGGATCTACTCAAACAGAAACCTTGGAGTCATCCATGGTCTTCCTTCTTTCTTAATTCCTGCGTATCAAAGACAAAATTTCCGTTGGTTCTACCTTTTTAATGTGTCTCAGATCCTCCTCTCCAAGCTCACTGCCTCGATTCAGACTTCACTGTCTTTCATTGGAAGCATTGCTTTAGCTCCTCAGCTGGTCTTCTTGTCTCTACTCTTGCTCCCTTCCAATTCATCCTCCTTCCTGCTGCCAGAATTTTTTTAATAGCATATTTTCTAAATGTAAATCTGATATCACTACCTTGATTAATAGTGTCCTTCTTCCTGTTTTTTTTCCAAGATAGAATCAAGACTGTTTAGCATAACCTAAAGATCTTTAATGATCCATCCCAGGCCAGTCTCTGTAGCATCACATCTCAACACTCCCTACCTTGCTCCCTTTTCCCCAGCCAGACTGAACTCCTGACAGTTTCCTTAATCACCATGTTCTGTCATTCCCCAGTGCCTGTGCTGTGCTCTTTGTTCTGCTAGAAAGCACTTGCCCTATGCTGCCTGATCAACCTTTGCTCATCCTTCGAAGCTCTGTATAGAGCTTCAGCACCCTCATTCATTCATTGATCTCTCTATTCATACATACAAAAACAGACACACACACACACACACACACACACACACACACACACACACACACACAGAGCCATTCAGTGTTTATTGTAACAGCCAGGGTTCTTAATTGCAACCAACAGAGAAATTGATGTTGGCTGACTTAAGGAGAAAGAGAATTTGGTGAAAGGATATTGGGTGACTGACACAATTGCTGGGAAGGCTGCAGAAACAGGCTCAGACAATAAGCAGAAACAAGGAAGGCTAGGCAATAGCCAGGAAGACAGCCAAGACACAGGACTGCATACTGGGGGTGGAAGGCAACCATCACTGGCACCACCATTCCACACAGGATGCCATGGGCTTCACTTCCAAGTCAGTGTCACTGGGCACTACCCACCATTCGCTCCCCACCACTCTCACTATCGGCACTGTTGTTCCTGGCAACCAGATGTCACTGCAGTGCCTGTTACTGCCACCAGAATTGTTTCTGCACTACCTGTATTTTGCATTACTGTCTCTGAAGCCCAGGGCAGATCCATTAGGTCAACCAAGCTTAACCTATGTCGCATGCTCTACTTGCAGGCAGGGTTGAGAAAGTAAGGAGCTAACATTTTGGTAGGCTTCTATATTACACTGGGGATCCGCTTCTCTCCAGTAATCCTCAGATAATTATCTAAACAAAATAAAGGGGGCCAGGTTCTGGGGAGCCCCTAAATGACAAATGTCCACTATGTTCTCAAAATTGCTCAACAAATAAATTGTGCATCTACCTGAGCCAAGTTGTCTTCGAGGCACCAGGGATACAAAAATGAATAAAGTGACCACTTCATACCCACTAAGATGGCTATGATCAAAAAGGCAGAAAATAACCAGTGTTCCTAACGATGTGGAGAAATTAGAATCTTCATATATTGCTGGCGAGAATGTAAAATGGTGCAGTCATTCTGAAAAGCAATCTGGTAGTGTTAATACCTCCAAAGATTAAACAGAGTAACCACATGATCCAGCAATTCCACTTCTAGGTATATACCCAAGGGAAATAGCAACATATATCCACCCAAAGATGTTTACACAAATGTTCATGGCATTCATAATACCGTGAAGTAGAAACATCCCACATGCCCACCAACTGATTGATGGTAAAAAGTGGCACATCTACACAATGGAATATTATTCAGCCATGAAAAGTAATGAAGTATTGAGACAGGCTGCCATATGGATGAATAGTGAAACTTGAACCATTATGCTAAGTGAAAGAAGCCAGTCACAAAGGTCACATACTGTGTGATTCCATTATATATAACATCCAGAATAAGCAAATCTATAAAGACAGAAAGTGGATTTGTGTTTGGCAAGGTCTGGGAGTGGAGGTGGGGAAGGGGAGTGACAGCTCATGGGTACAGGGTTTCTTTCTGTGATAATGAAATGCTGTAAAATTAGATTGCAGTGATGGTTGTATAGTTCTGTGAATATACTAAAAACCATTAACTCATTTACTTTTTTTTTTTTTTTGCCATGCCACGAAGTGTGTTTTATTTTCATTATTCATACAAATAATTTTCTATAATATTCCAGGGCAAACCAGAGAATTTGGCAGTCCGATTGGGGGGGTCCCTTCAGAGACCCACAGGCTGGTGGCATCGGCGTGGAGTGCCCAGGTTCACAGTGCAGCTTGTGGCTCGTGTCCATCTTGCAGGTAGCTCTTCCTCCACATCACGACTGGGGTCTCGAAGATGACAGGGGTAGGAAATCCTCTAGGATTTTAGGAAATTTCACTCCGCTTCTCCTGCTCAATGGTCTCTTTGGTTGGCAGGGTGTTCTCCTGCGTCTCCGTTTTCTTCAGCTTGGCCTTATCGAAGCTGGCGATTTCCCCCATGTCTGGTTTGTCTGCCATTTTCGTAAAACAATCCGTGTAGTTGGGTTCCGAGCCCGGGATCCTGGTGCTCCCACTCGCGTTGCTGCAGCAAGAGACCGACTCATTTGCTTTAAATGAGTGAATTGTGTGCTATGTGAGTGATGTCTTAATAAAGCTCTTTATTTAAAAAAAAAAAAATGTAATTTAAAAAAGCCGCCTTTTCCTCAAGGAACTGACGAGCTTGTGGGACAGCAGAGTTAAGAAGGTGGCTGCCAGTGGCCGCTGGTCATGCCTGTAATCCTAGAGCTTTGGGAGGCCTGTAAGGATCACTTGAGGCCAGGAGTTAAATAACAGCCTAGGTAATGTAGTGGGACCCTGTCTCTACAAAAACTGTATTTAAAAAAAGAGTTAACAAGGAAACAATACAACTTCAAGTTGTGGCAAACCTTTCCCTCACAGCTACTCCTTCTTTCTTCACGCCTCAAGATGGAAGATGTACCTTGCTCCTTGCCACAGCACTTACTTATCTATATTTTAAATTGTCTTTCTCTGAACAGTACGATCCTTTAGGTAGGAACAAGTGTGTCATTGAACTTTGGGTCACCAGGGCTAGCGGCAGTGCCTAGCACACAGTAGGCTTCATAGTTGTTTGTTGAATGGTGAATAAATGAGAGAACCAGAACTGGAACTTGGGTGTCCCAAGACCCAGACCAGATTCCTTCCAACTACACCCAATCATATTGACATCAGAAACGAATGCTTTCCAAATCTGACGGCTAGCCAGAGAGACGTCTACAACAAAAACAGTTGCGTTTTCTACAAGCTGTCAGTTTCCAGGTGTATGTTTACATTTTACACTATAAATGTAATTTTTCTGTTTCCATTAATTATGCTATGTCCTTTGAATAATGGTTTCACTCACCTGATTTACAGCTCTCTCCCTTGAGTTCATCACATAGCACCAGCTTTGCTGTCATCTTTAGCATCCTGCAATTGCGACTTCTCAGCCACTTGGCTGGTCAACACTGAGTAGGGGGCTTTCTGGCCTATGTGCACAGGGTTTCAAAGGCCCAGATTTTAGAGATTTGGTTTTTCACTTACCAGGAAGCACAAAGTAGAACTATATCAGCAAAGGTTATGTAGAAAATTATTTTTTTCACGGCCTCTTGAGATTTAACTTTGCAACAAACGTTCCGTACTACTTTTAACAATCAGCTTTATTGGCTGGGTGCAGTGGCTCACACCTGTAATTCCAGCACTTTGGGAGGCCAAGGCGAGTGGATCACCTGAGGTCTGGAGTTCAAGGCCAGCCTGGTAAACATGGTGAAACCCTGTCTCTACTAAAAATAGAAAAATTAGCCAGGCATGGTGACGAGCACCTGTAGTCCCAGCTACTTGGGGGGCTGAGGCAGGAGAATAACTTGAACTTGGGAGGCAGAAGTTGCAATGAGCCACAATCGCACCATGGCACTCCAGCCTGGGTGACAAGAGTGAGACTCAGTCTCAAAAAAAAAAAAAAAAAAAAAAAAAAAAGCTTTATTGAGATATAACTCATATACCATAAAATTCAATCAGTTAAACGGTACAGTTCAATGGCTTTTAGTATACACAGAGCTGTGCAACCATCACCACAATCTGATTTTAGAACATTTTCGTCACTTCAAAAATAAACCCATACTGGTAGCATTCACTCCCCATTCTTCTCTCCCCCACTCTTGACCCTAGCCAACTACTAATCTACTTTTTTTTGTCTTTATAGGTTTGCCTATTCTGAATATTTCATATAAATGGAATCATATAGTATGTGGTTTTTTTGTGACTGGGTTCATTCACTAAGCATGTTTTCAAGGTCCAGCTATGTTACAGCATGTATCAGTATTTCACTTCCTCTTATAGCTGAATAATACTGTATGATATGGATATACCATATTGGGCATTTGGTTGTTTCCATTTTTTTGTCTCTTATGAATAATGCTGCTGTAAACATTCACATAGGTTTCTCTACTACTTTTTAAATCATAACTTTGTTTCAAAAATTCCCCCACTCCTCTGATGCTCTTGTCTCTCAGTAGGCTCTCCAGTAATTTACAAAGTTCTTCTAGGCTTTTTATAATTGATTATTAATGGTTATCAAAGGCCTAAAGTTTACCTGGCAGTAGCTTTCCTGTTACTGTAATTATTACCAATATAGAAAATATTTCACTGAAATAATGAAACAACTGTATCTCCGATGACATTTTGTGACCTGTTAAAAGATGCCAAGGAAGGCTGGGTGCGGTGGCTCACACCTGTAATCCCAGCACTTTGGGAGGCTAAGGTGGGAGAATCACTTGAGGTTAGGAGTTTGGGACCAGCCCGGCTAACATAGTGAAACCCTGTCTCTACTAAAAATACAAAAATTAGCCAGGTATGGTGGCCGACTCCTCTAATCCCAGCTACTCAGGAGGCTAAGGCACAAGAATCGTTTGAACCCAGGAGGCAGAGGTTGCAGTAAGCCAAGATCACACCACTGCACTCCAGCCTGGGCAACAGAGTGAGACTGTTTCAAAACAAAACAAAACAAAACAACAACAACAAAAAGATGCCAAGGAACCATGTTCTTGGAGAGTCTTATCTGCTAAAGACTGTGCCCTGTACTGTGAAGACAAGAATTAGGACACAGTCCTTGTCCTCCAGGATCTTCTGTTCTGTTACAGGAGACAGTTGTAGGGGATGCAACTCACCCAGTCTTGGTGGTCAGGGAAGGCCACTGTAGGCAGGATGGTACTGCTGGGAGTTAGCCAGGAAAAGAGCCAAGAGAGCAAAGGCAAACACATGAGCAAGGGCCCAGATGTGAGAGGAGCATGTTTGTAAGAAAGGGAGGGAGAAAGGAAAGGAGAGGGAGGGGAGGGATATGAGGAATTGTGGAAAGAAATGAAGCTGAACCAATAAAGAAGAGCCACATTGTTAAGGGCTTTGAAAGCCACGCTAAGGAAAAGTTGCTCTGCTTGAAGGGGAAGGATTAAAAAAACATCAGCAGATCAAACGTTTGACCCTCTCAACACAAAACAAACACAAAACCTTATTGAAAAATGTACAAAATGAAAAGGAATTTGTGAAATACTACTTTTTAGTCTTCGTGTTAGAAGTAAATGTGTTTCTCTTTTAATCAAAATTTTCAAATTTGGTGTCAACTTGTAATAATAGTAATGTTTAAAATTATTTTCTTTTTATTATTTGACAAATATGTGTGTAGACCCTCCTATGTACAAGAGATTACTCCAATCTCTGAGGCTACAAAATGTTTCACAAGGCTTGGTTCCTCACTTGAAGGCATTAAGTGTTAAATCACATAATTGGCGCATAAATAAACCAATAATATTTTATATATTATACATATTTAGTAAATTTATTATTCAGAAGAAGAGGCACCACCAAAGATTCAAAGTGTATCAACATTAGTGTCCCTCATTGGCACAATTATAATTAATTCAATTTTTTAAAGAGCCCTACACCAAGGGGCCTTCAACTAAGAAGGCTCTTAATTACTTTTGCTTTGGAAATTTTTTATCCTCTGGTCCAATTCAGGGAAGAACACTAGCAGTATTTTTTTAAAAAGCTTTTATTATACATTACAGACAGAGTAGTGTCCTATGGGCTATGAAGAATGTAAAGGAATGGTAGGTATGGTTCCTTCTCTCAATAAAATTCCAATTCTACTGGGAATACGAGAGGTGGCATAGAGGAGGTTGGGGGAGCATTTATTGTCTCCTCTCATTGTGCAAGGTTCCTAAAGCTCACTTTATCTCATTTCATCTTCCCATAACCCTATTAGGAAGGTATTTTTCTCATAAATAATAGAAGTCCCCATAGAGGTAAAATAACCCAAGATCAACAAGCCACAGTGTACATTTCCAATTGAGGTGAAAACCAGGAAATATATACCAAGTGTGGTCACATGGGCAATCGCCCAGTTCAGCTGAGTGAAAATGGGGTTGAATTATCTTATAGCTAGCCTTCAGGGGTCTTTCTTGCTTCTCTACTCTTTAGCTCCAAGGAAGGTGATGAAAAGCCCTTCTGAGACCTGGGGCTGGGGCTAGCACTGTCTGGAGGCATCTTCACTCATATATCTGGTGGGTGATGCTGGCTGCTGGCCAGCACACCTACACGTGATCTTTTGAGTCTTTGGTAAAGGGGAATGGATATAGAGAAATAGGAAAGACCAGTGAAGGGAGATATGCAGTTAAGGGAAGATTTTAATCAGATGGAACATAGAATATTTTTTGTAGATTGAAGGGAATAAACCAGTAGAAAGGGGGAAATGGTAGTATAGGAAAGAGAACAGATAACAGTGAGAATGGTACTCTAGAGTTGGTGAAAGGAAATGGGACCCAGTGCACTGGGAGGGTTTAGCCTAAGACAGCAACTTGGATGGTTCACCTATTGCATGTATCCTCAATGAGGACAAAAGTTGGTTCCTACTCTTTTTATGTACAAAGTACAGATACACATGCAGTACATAATCTTATGGCATGAGGCAACTAGAATAAAGGTATCTAAAAAGACTCTTTAAGGGGCAATAATGAAAAGAAAAGGTTGAGAAACACTGATCTACAGTAACTCGAGAGAAGGCAGAGAGTATATGAGTAGGTATCAGTGTTCTGATGTTCGGGTGTTTAGATGTTTGAAAGGTGTGGAAGCTCTTTTCTGATATCATCTATTTCCCAGTGAAATAAGAAGCAAGAAGAACCAAATATGAGAAGGAGAATGGGAGTTTTACAGGTTTGTCAAGAGATAAGAAAGTTTGAAATTGATATCTTGGAGGGTCAGAGAGGGAATTGGCTCACTTGATGTCGATGGACTGTTTAAGGTGAGATCAGTCAGTATGTTTGTGTGCTTTTCTCTAACTGCATTCAGATGCTCGGATTAGGCAGTGGTTGGGTTTCACCAGGGTTGGTGTACTTACTAGGGAAGTACAATGGCTGGAAATATGAGCAAGGGCATTTCCAACAGAATGGCTATAATGGTCCTCAATTCCCTACCCTCACTCTGCACTCCCCATAACAGCACTCGTTGTTGGCTTCTCACACCAAGCCCCCGCAGCTCTCTGTGGAAGGGCTTCTTGTTGGCCTGTG